TTCCTTGCTGATGCCGGTACGCATACAACGACAGATCTCTATTCACATACACCGACGACTAATCACAATCGAACCGTGTGGAAATGATAAATCGAGAGCGAATGACGAATCATTGGCACTCGACTCTTATCTTATCTTATCTTATCTGCCGTAACGCACTTCCGTTGCATTTGTACGGAATTTACACCCTAGTCGCGCCTAAGAAGTTAATTAAAAAATAGAGCTAAACCCATTTGATTGTCTATTTAGATTATATATATTTCTTTTTTTCTCCAGATAACATCATCGTCAAATTTCCTCAAGAAAGAGACGGCTGTGTAGCTAGTTCTCGAGATGGACAGAAAGCGAACAGGTTGAGTTTGTCGAAAGGCTCCTATCAAGGATGTGTCACCATCAGCATGGACATATAGATGCCTATTTGAAACCAATGCTGCAGAGGGATTTCATCACATTATTACCAAGTAATAATAGTCATCTAATCAATTTTAATAAACCCTCAATGCTCTTGAATTAATTTTTGTTCTGTTTCTTTTAGAAAAAGGCCTAGACCACATTGCAGAGTCCATCCTGTCCTACTTGGATGCAGACAGTCTATTATCAGCAGAGTTGGTTTGTAAAGAATGGAGGAGGGTCATAGCCGAAGGGATGCTCTGGAAAAAACTCATAGAGAAAAAAGTTAGGCACGATTCCACGTGGAGAGGGTTGGCCGAGAGGAGAGGATGGATTCAGTATTTGTTCAAACCGAGACCAGGGACTTTGCATCCGAGCCATGCTTTTTATACAGCACTTTATCCTAAAATCATGCAGGTAGGGAATGGAAATATACATATATATTTATATACTAGACAGTCGGGACAGACGTTGTCCTGTACCCATGTCTACAATTTTTTAATATAATATACTAATATTTACCGTTTACCTAAAAATAATAATTATTGTTTTTTAAATTACTCTTCACGACAAAATGCATATGCATTTATAATACGAGCGATGTTAAATGTAGAACTGCTTTAAATAAAATGATGAGTCTCAATTCCCCAACACTATATTGAAAATTGAAGTCTTTTAAACGGTATAACATTACTATAACCATAACATAACACTGGTACTTAATGTTGGATTAAATTAATTTAATTTTTTATTATTTAAGATATCCAAATTTGCATCTTAAACTTCTCCTAATCGATATCGTGCGGGCCGAATTGTATGTATTCATATTTACTTTCCCATTTTTTGTTATATAGTGAAATTTTTACAAATTTTAAAAATATTGTGCAAAGATTAGTAAAAAATGCAAAGAAATTATATATTGAAAAAAAAAAACTATATTGAAAATTTAATATCCGAATCTTGTGTTGGCGCCCCCTAAGGCGTGCGCTCGTATTTTTCGCATGCATCGCATTAAAGGTAGGACCGGACCTGATTAATACTTAATTTCATATTTTAAGCGAATAAATTTGTCATATCCTGTTCATATGTGTATCATTTAATCTGCCATACATATACTGTATCTTATATTATTTTTATTTTTGGCACATCTCAGCTGCTTTTTGGCAATAATAATGTTGACATTCCATTTTTCTTATTCTTAACCATAAATTTATTATACATATTCTAATATTGTTTAGGTTCATAAGTAAATTGAAATTTATGGTAGATGATAGTTTTCATTTGTTTTAATGCAAACAATGGCATGTGGTTTTTTGCATTTTTTCCATTTATTTCTACAATGTTGCACATACATCCCAGTACTTTATAATCACATACAACCTAGAAAATTTCCTTAACAAACTTCAGAAAGATTTATCAAAATCCGCATAATCGTTTAGAAGGAATATACAGTGAGTGCTTGTAATTTAATATGAACTTTATATAATAGCAATAAAGCTCAAATTGATTCTATGTTTTATTTAAAAAACGTTTGTATGAGAAAAAGAAAAGGGCTGTTTTTAGAGTTTTCCCGGCAATTATTCGATTTTTTCTCGTCATAAGAACCATCCTTGGACTTCAACGAATATTTTAAAAAAAGAATTACTAACACATTTTGCGATTCATTTTTATATATAAGAAGATCAATAAATAATTATATTTATCTATTTATTAGGACATTGATAGCATTGAATCCAATTGGCGAATGGGTCGACATAATCTACAAAGAATCAACTGTCGATCAGAGAACTCCAAAGGAGTCTACTGTTTGCAGTACGATGATACTAAAATCGTATCAGGCCTAAGGGATAACACAATTAAAATCTGGGATAGAAGTACACTACAATGTAATCAGGTAAGAATATATACTTCAAATAACTAGTTGTGTATGGCGGCATCATGCCTTAAGGCAAATTGCTGGAACTTTCTGTACGAAAAATTTAATTCTTTAAAAAAGATACGAGAAATATAAAGAGAACTAGCTGTAAGTGGAATTCTGTCTTAAGGCAATTAGGGCATCGTGCCCTAAGGCAAATTGCTGGAACTTCCCGTACCAAAAATTATTATTTTTTTTAAAAACGATTAACATTTTTGAAAAAAAAATACTTCGAAAAAATTAGATTTTTGAGAAACTATAAATTTGACAAAAAATTACTTTTTTTGGAAAAAAAATATTTTTTTGAAAAGAAAAATGTTTTCTTCATTTTGACATATTTTGGAAATTCTGAACTTTTTTTCAAAGCAATCTTACTGCTTGAACTGCATAGAGACAAAATATAAAGCGCGTAAGAGCGGCGTCGCTGTCTAACGGGTAAACATTGATACGGAACCCATCGGAAAATAAACAAAATTTATACTTATTGTTAAAATCTCTATAAAATATCTGATAATTTGATGTGCGTATGTCTAATGATCATTTTTAACCGCCGAATGGCATTTTTTTTTACTTTTTTCATTAGATCTCCGAAATCGCTAGACCTGCCTTCATGAAAATTTGATCAATTCTTCATCTTGTTAATACAAGTAAAATGTTTTTTGAATTATTCAAATCGGACGCTCCGTTCTCTTAAAAACTGAGTTACCGATTTCGGCACTTTTTGCTCCGTATCTTCGGAACGGCTAAACCTGCCTTTGCCAAAACCTAATCAGTACGTCTCCTTATCAATACGAATCGAATGTTTTTTGAATTATTCAAATCGGTTGATCCGTGTTCCCGAAATCGTCGACGAAAATTTGTATCCGCACACACATACATACATGCGCACACACACACACACATACACACACACACATACATCCATTTTTTCTAAGGTATGCCAAAATGTTCAGAAACCTCTGAAACGTAAAGATATATAAAAATTTTCATTTTAGATTTTTTTGCGATTACTATAACTTGCCCTACGGGAAGTTAAAAAATAAGTTTTTGGAAATTTTTGAAAGAAATTGATGTTTTTTCCAAAAATTAGAATCTTTTCATACTTTGAAATATTTTGAAATATCAAAAAATCTTCAAAAAGTCGATCACGTGATTAATGGACGCCCCCTAAAATGATAATTTATTTATAATATTAATTCTATAATTTTTATCTCAGGTTCTGACCGGTCACACTGGTTCAGTATTGTGTCTGCAATACGATGAACGAGTGATAATATCGGGGTCCAGTGACTCCACAGTCCGTGTTTGGGACGTAGCCACGGGGGCTATGGTCAACACACTCATACATCACTGTGAGGCTGTCTTGCATTTGAGATTTAGTAACGGGATGATGGTCACATGTTCGAAGGTAAGGGAAATAATCATAATTGTAATACTTATAATATAAATATGGTAATAACATAATTTAAAATTTGTTTATTCAGGATCGTTCAATAGCCGTATGGGACATGACGACATCTACAGAAATTAGTCTGCGCAGAGTCCTTGTTGGACATCGTGCAGCTGTTAATGTTGTCGATTTTGATGAAAGATATATTGTTTCAGCCAGTGGGGATAGAACTATTAAGGTAATATTTTTATACTTCATATATATGTATATATATATATATATATATATATATCTTCTATATATATATATATATATATATATCTTCTATTAATATATAAAAATAAGTTGGGTTTTTCTTCCTGACGAAATAACTCCAGAACGCACGAACCGATTTCGACAATTTTGCATTCGTTGGAAAGGTCTCGGGCTCCGCAAGGTTCCATAAATTTCAAATAGATTATTTAGAAAATCATTGGTTTTCACATTGGAAATCCCTCCGCTTTGTTTGTGTTAACGTCAGACCAAAAAACAAAAAATGTGGTTTACCAAGGAGCACTTCAATGAAACGGATAATTTGCGGATTCACTTTCATTTACTTAGAGAAGTTCAACTAAAAAACACTTCATTTTTATAATCAAAATAAATTCATTACTGTTGTGTAATAAAATCATTTTTTTTTCTTTTCAAATATAAAACAAACAAAACAATTCTTCATCTTTCTCACGAAACCATCTGGTGGCGAAACGGAGTTCGTCGGGTTTGCTAGTATATATATATATATATATATATATATTAGGGTGGTCCTTAAAATAGTCATTTTCGAATTTTCTTGCTCCCAGGGGCTCAAATGGTTCCAAATAGATAAAAAACAATTCTCTGAAAGTTTTAGCTCATAATATTAACGTTTAGATAGAGCGCAATTCAATCAAAGTTTGTATGGAAAGAGCATGAAAACAATTTTGAAAATTTAAAACAAATGTTTTAGGTGTAACTTAGCGACAAATGAATGAGTTTTATTCATTCAGTTGTTCGCTAAATTACATCTAAAAAACATTTTTAAAATTTTTGAAAATTTTTCCATGCTATTTCCATACAAAACTTTGATTGAATTGCGCTCTATCTAAACGTTAATATTAAGAGCTAAAACTTTCAGAAAATTGTTTTTTATCTATTTGGAACCATTTGAGCCCCTGGGAGCAAGAAAATTTGAAAATGACCATTTTAAGGACCACCCTAATATATATGTATATATATATATATATATATGTATATATATATATATATATGTATATATATATATATATATATATGTATATATATATATATATATATATATATGTATATATATATTATATTATTTAGTCTTATCACGAGTGATATATTTTATTTATTGTATTTCCTATGTCGTCTCAGCGAGATATAAAAATAAGTATCTAATTATGACACATGACTAATAGGAACAATATATATATATATATATATATATATATATATATATATATATATATAATATAGAATTTTATGATATGAGTGGAACGAATATTAATTGTTTAATATGAACAAAACAGCACTCAGATTTGTTTAACACATGACACTTATATAAACATCATTAATAATTTATAATTTTTTTTATTTATCTTATTCTTTTCAATAAATTAATTTGTTTTTTCATTTTTATCGATTTTTGTATGCGACAGCACTCCTTTTGTTTACATTATAATGATATCCATTCTGTCTCCATCTAGATAAGTACTTCAAATTTGTTTAGAATATTTCTGTAAGTGTTATGTGTTTCTTTAGTACTGTGTCAAGCATTGCAAGGAATAGTTGGTGTTTTTTGTATATCAAAAATTAAATGAAATTTAAATAAATTATTAAAGAATGTGTAGTATATAAGTAACTGTTTTTGAAATTACACTGAAGATGAGACACACCATGGTCTCGAAACGTCTGTAATAATAAAATAAAGTTGTGTTAAACAAATCTGAGTGCTGTTTTGTTCATATTAAACAATTAATATTCGTTCCACTCATATCATAAAATTCTATAATATATATATATACAATATATTTTTTATTACAGGTATGGAATACATCCAGTTGTGAGTTTGTTCGAACACTGAATGGACACAAAAGAGGCATAGCTTGTTTACAATATCGAGATCGAATAGTTGTTAGTGGATCCAGTGATAATACAATAAGGTATGTAATTAATGATTGAACTAGATGTAAGTGGCATTTTGTCTTGAGGCAAGTTATATGAACTTCCCTGACATGAGCAACTCAAAGGCTTAAACAATAACAATCCATATTTATATTATTATCATTTTTACTAAAATGTAATTGATGTCATTTCTAATTCACATTTATCAAATAAAAATTTATTTATTAAATTCATTCATAAACTCATTGACTTTATTACTAATTCACTTCATTACTACTTTTTTTTTAAAAACCCACTTTCAACTTAAAGGTTGTATTTGTAATCTGATTGTTGAAAAAACTTTATTAGAACATATGGATAAGGGTTTTCTGTTATTTTTTTTCTGGATTTCATATATTTTGGATACAGGATTACAACTACTCATTACAGAAAACAAATTATCTTAATTAAATTATTCTTAATAAAATACAAAACTAAAACTATATTAAGCTTAACACCAATATCATTAATAATAATTAATTATTACCGAAAACAAAGTATCTTTATTAAATCATTCTTAGTAAAATACAAAGCTAAAACTATATTAAGCCTAACACTAATATCTTTAACTATTATCTATAATTAATTATTATTATCTATTATGTTTTAGGTTATGGGACATAGAATGTGGGGCCTGCTTGCGAGTTCTGGAGGGTCACGAGGAGCTAGTAAGATGCATAAGATTTGATTCAAAACGTATAGTCTCAGGTGCCTACGATGGAAAAATTAAAGTATGGGACTTGATGGCTGCCATGGACCCTCGAGCTCCAACATCTTCATTGTGTTTGAGGACATTGGTGGTAAATATAGAAAACTAATTAAAAGTTACTCTTTTTTATTTATCTCAGAGACTTGTGTTCAGTCACAAGTCTCACTTCTGTTCATTTTAAAAATCATTTTTATAGGTTTTAGATTCATTATTTTAGATTATTCTTTTAAATTTTTATTATTGCCCAAGAGTTTTTATCGATTTTTATACAATTTTATAAATGTTTATGATTTTTTATAGATGATTCATTAAATTTTATTAAATTAATAAGAATTACTATATAGGTTTACAAAATCGAGGAAATTATTATGGATTTTTATGAATTTTAGCATATTAACTTCCCGTAGGGTAAGTTATTGTAATGGGCCGAAAATCGGAATTGAAAATTTTTACATTTCTCGACGTTTTGAAGGTTTCTGAACATTTTGGCATACTTCAGAAAAAATGGATGTGTGTGTGTGTGTGTGTGTGTGTGTGTATGTATGTATGGATACAAATTTTCGCCCACGTTTTCGGGCGTACGGATCAACCGATTTGAATGGTTTAAAAAACATTCGATTCCTATTAATAAGGAGAAGAGCTGATTAGTTTTTGGCAAAGGCAGGTCCAGCAGTTACGGAGATAAGGAGCAAAGAGTGCAGAAAATAGAAATTGAGTTTTTGAGAGAACGGAGCATCCGATTTGAATGATCTAAAAAACATTCAATTAGTAATGATTGGGAGAAGGGGTTATCAGTTTTTCGCAAAGGCAGGCCCAGCCATTTCGGAGATACAGAGCTAAATGTACAAAAAATGGCAGTTTTTGAGAGAACTAAGCGTCCGATTCAATTGATTCAAAGAACTTTCTGCTTGTCTTAACAAAATAATTGATTTTGGAAAAAAAAATTTTTACCATTTTTTTTTTTTTTTTTTTTTTTTTTTTTTAATTTTTTGTATATCGAAAATAATTCAGATTTTATTTTTAATTCTGACTATAGTTCTAATATACTTTAAACAAATAATTTCAACTCTGCAATTCAGTTTATATAATTCTTATAAATATTAGACAATGTTACAATATTTATAATATGTAATCTATTTGAAAACATTCAATATTCCTCGAACATTTCGTTACGGTACGGGAAGTTCCAGCAATTTGCCTTAAGGCACGATGCCACCCACTCCACTAGTTTTTTTATAAATTTTTGTAAGATATTACAATATTTTTATAAACATTCAAAAATTTTAACAAACGTCCGTAAATTTCTAAAGACATTTCTACATTTTTATAAACTTTTACAACTGCAGAAATTTTTCATGTTTTCATTTTGCTAAGAACATTTTTTGAGAAAATTCTTACTCGTTCAAAGTTTGTAATTCGAATTTTGCTCGTATGTCGAAGCAACAATCGCAAGTTTACTTAAAGATTACATTCAGGTATCCTAAACTAAACAACAGTACTCAAAATCAAAAATAACTAACAACGAAAAAAATACTTTGTTTAAAAAATTAAAAATGTGGTAGTTTATTTTGCGATCCGCTCTCTTGTTTTACCCCGTTTGACCACTACTTTAAAATAGCACGGCAGTGCGGGGCACAAAGGTCCAATTTCGTCCCAAAAACCAAACCAATTATATCACAACAAATAACACTTATCAAGCAAACAACTATGTGACGATGTTTAGTGCAATTTCTAGCAACTTCATCATTTTAGAAATGTTTTTTTTTACTGTTTTCAAAAATTTGTGACCTGGTCCTTTTTACCCCATAGGCGGGGTAAAAAAACAGTTGACTGTTAACCACAATAACCGAAAAATGGTCACAGTTTTATCAAAGCAATTGGTTAGCACTTAAAAGCTTCTATTTTTCAAACTATGTTAGATAATTTTTTTAAATTTTCCATGATAATTATGACCAATATTATAACCCTGTCTGGGTTTGACGTTGAATTCTGGGACACCCTGTATATAATTATGTCAGGTGTGCAAGGCACTTTAAACCACATTTTAAATCGTGCATCCACTATCATTCATAAATAACATATGCTTGAAAATTATATTGAAGTATTGTAAACTAAACAACAGCGCTCACGACCAAAACTAATAACAACGAAAGAAAATACTTTTGTTATGGATTTTCAAACTTTGGCGTTTATTTCCTGATAGGAACGTTGTAAGAATGAAGGTGACGGCTGGTTATACATCTTTTGCCCTCTACTTTCAAATATTGGTGGGGATCACTATGATTAATTATATATTGAGCAAACTGTAAATTATAAATATTTCATTACCATAAGATATATGAATAAAACCATTATTTAGGTTACAATATACACTAAGTCTGTTTTTACACGGTAGATTGGTTCCAGAAGAAGCCGTTTAAAAAAGAGACATTGATCTTATACAAAAATGGGTGATTTTTTTAATAATATTTCTTTCCTAATCTCTAAAACCTATTAAAATCAGTGAAAAACAAGAATTTTTAAGAACAAGAATTCATGTTTATTTTATTAAATCAAATTTATACTGCTTATTTTCACAAGCTTAGTAATTAATGATAAAAAAGATATGCACTCTAATCTTAAAAGTAATATAAATTCTCCTAAATTAGTGCTATTCACATTTGCTTTGACCAGTAAAAATTGTTTGTAAGCGCTAAAGGGGAATTCACTTAAATCTTTAAGCCAGTGTTCGCAAATTATCGATACTATCGATGGTTTCAGACTTTTTTCTTTCATAAATACTTTTTTGTGATATGAACATACTTCGCGAAAAATTTAATTTGACAAAAAAAATTTAGGTACATAAAATTTCAAATTGTGCTAAATGGAATAAATTCGTGTAAAAAAATTAAAAATATTCAATTTTCAAACTGTGTTATATCAAAACCGTGTACAAAAAGACCGTGTAAAAACAGACTTAGGTGTATATTCATACCTTAATAACTTTATACCCCTACCCCGAAGGGTTCAGGGTTAAATAGAAAAGGCCCTCGTCAAATCTTTACCAAATATTGTTGTTAACAAATTCCTAGCTTCACTTGTTTTTGAGATATCGATGATGGACCTTTTTATCATTTACCACTATCCATTAAATTTTTTTCCCTATGAGTGAGTTGTTCATTGTTTTATCGTCAGGAGCACACGGGACGAGTGTTCAGACTGCAGTTCGACGAATTCCAAATAGTGAGCTCCTCCCACGACGACACCATCCTGATCTGGGACTTCCTGAACTACGCCCCGCCCGACGGCACCCCCAAACAGGGCACCTCCAATTCGTCCGCCAATAACACTCCGAACATTGCCGAAGTGAACCGGAGCCCCTCGAGGGACCTGGCCGAAGATAATGATTACTTGTGAAATTTATAAGACTGTGACAAAAAAAAGTGTCGAGTGGAGTGGAGTGGAGTTACAAGTACAAGAGATTAATTTTTATTGTCGGGACTACTTTTGTGAGTACTTAATAATAATTATAAATGTAAATAAGTGATAGTTTTTTGATTGACTAGTAGGAGATATTTATAAAAGAAGTGATAAGTACTTAATTGTATATATTTAAATTAAAGGACCGAGAACTGTGTTCTGCTTATTGTGTATATATCGCGTTAGAGGGAGCGCCGAATCAACTCGAAATCAAGATGTGAAATTTGAATGAAAATGAAATGTAAAAAATATATATATTGATTAATGTCGACGTAGAATATTCTAATTTTTAGACTATGGGGCTAATTCTGCGATAACCTAAAAATGTTATGACAAAATTATGTTACGGGTCTATTTTCATATAAGTTGCTAGTAAAAACTGTCGAAATGACATGCATTTGCTGTGCCATCAGGTGTTTCACACATAAAAGCTAACTTCACACATGTGTTATCAGAGTTGCACTCATGATAAAATTGTTTGTTCGTTTTGGAGGTTAGGTTTTATGTGTAAAAAAATAGTTTTTAAACAGTTAGTACTAGTTTATACGAAGATAGACCCGTAACACAGTACAGTAGTAGTCCTTTAGCCCGGGATCGAAAATTCCGGATTATCGAGCGGCAATTACAAAAAGATTAAAAAATGTATTTCAAAATCAGTAGGATATACAAACAATATTTCTTTCTAACATTTACTAGAATATATATGTTCAAAATACTTTTAAATTTTTACCAAAACACATTTTTATTTTCCATAAAATTTTATAGTGTTACGTGTTTTCGTGTCCTTTAAGGATTAAGTTTTGAAAACATGGTCACTGCACGGTTAAGTGTTTAAAATACTGATATATCCTTTGTAGAACGTAAGGCCTACGCATATCGTAGAACGTACTTTGGTCATGAATCTGGACACAACGGATTTTAGCATGGACACAACCATTACCGAACAATATTGAGTCTTTCAGAACAATTCCCAAAATGCTCTAATAACTCTCGAGATTTTTAACTTGCTATAATTGCATATTTAAAAATAAACAAAATTTTTGAAAAAATTCCGGACCATTGTGCATTCCGGACTGTTGGGAGCCGGACTAAAGGACTTCTTCTGTGACAAACTTGCTATGCGATCAGGCGTTTCACACATAAAAGCTAACTTCACGCATGTGTTATCAAAGTTGCACTTTTGTCCGTGCGTTTTAGAGGTTAGATTTTATGCGAAAACGCTCAAACGACCAGCAAGAACATAGCTTTTTTATAGTTTGTTTCTACCAGTTCATACGAAGATCGATCCGTATCATAGTACAGTAAAAGTCCTTTAATCCGGCTTCGGGACAAAATCATTAGAAAATACAATCAACAAAGCTTAATTTACATTTATTAGAATATATTTAAAATATTTTTCAAAACACATTTTTAATTTTTACATGAAACAAAAATTTGTTGGTTTTTAGCCATTTGTTGATTTGCAGTTTCTGATTGAGAGTTACTTTTACGTGTTTTCGTGTCCTTTAAGGATTAAGTTTTGGTCACAGCACAGTCAGGTGGTTAAATCTAGTGATATATCCTTCGTAGAAGGTAGGGACTACGTATGTCATAGAACGTACTTTGCTCATGAACCAAGACATAACGGAATTTAGCATGGACACGATTACCCGAGTCCTTTCCAAGGATTCCGAAATACCTCGAAAACATTATATTTTTATTTTATGTTTTCATTTGCATAAAGGCTCATTTTTGAAAAATAAAGAAAATTTCTGAAAAAATCTCGGACTATCGTTCATTCCGGACTAAAGGACTTCTTCTGTAACAAACTTGCTGTGCGATCAGGCGTGTACTTCACGCATGTACTTTTGATAAAATTATTTGTTGAAGTCCGTGCGTTTTGGAGGTTAGGTTTTATGTGTAAAACGCCTAAACGCACAGCAAATACATAGCTTTTGGACAGTTTGTTACTACACAGTTCATACGAAGATAGATCCGTAACATAGTACAGTAGAAGTCCTTTAGTCCGGCTTGCTCTGGATCGAAAATTCTGGATTATCAGGCAGTAATTATAAAAACAATCAGATTATAAATTAAACCACAAAATTAGTAAGAAATGATAAAGTTTATTTCACATTTATTAGAGTATATATACACAATGCTTTGAAATTTTTACCAAAACACATTTTTATTTTTTACATAAAATTTGAGGTTTTTTATTTTTGGCCTTTTTATGATTTTTAGTTTCCCATTGAGTTTAAAAATTATTAGTTTTAAAAAAAACACGGTCACTGTACAATCATTGGGCATTCATTAATCACGTGATCTATTTTTAGGAACTTTTGTCCCCCCCCAATTTTCCTTGGTGATACGTCGTGATATTTAAAATTACGCCCCCTCCCCCAGAAAAAACACGTGTATTTTTAGTTTTGTAAAATTATTCGAATATCCGAAAAAATCGTATTTTTTTGCAAAAGTTTGGATTTTTTTTTCAAAAATTTGTTGAAAATAAATACACATGTGATATATTACTAGACCCCTCCTGCCCGCGTGAGGTTTTGCAATTTTTTGTCAGTAAGCTGTTTTTTCCATTGATTACGTGATTGATTTTTCAGAGATTTTGGTCCCCACCCTCACCCTTGGTGATATGTCGTGATATTCAAAATTACCCTCCATCCCTCCTCCAAACCAAATATCACGTGTATTTTTAGTTAGCTAACATTTTTCGAAGGAATTTATCGAATTTACGAAAAAATCGTGTTTTTCAAAATGTTTGGATTTAAAAAATACAGGTTAAAAATATATACACGTAATATCTTACTAGACCTCTCCCTCCCCCGTAATTTTTTGTCACCCTCTCCCCCCTCTTAAAAGCCTCATGTGATTAATGGACGCCCCAATTAATTAATTGGTTAAATCTACTGATATATCCTTCGTAGGCCGAATTCTTTGTAGAATGTAGGGACTACGCATATCGTAGAACGTACTTTGTTCATGAACCTGGACTCAACTGAAGTTAGCATGGACACAACGATTAGCGAATAATAGCGAGTCCTTCCGAATGGTTCCGAACTACGCCGAAAACGTTCTAATAGCTCTCATGCATTTCATTTACATTTTTTTAAAAACGGAAATTTTTGAAAAAATCCAGGACTAAAGGACTTCTATTGTATTATCATAACATTTCTATTTTATCCCAGAATCAACACCTATGTTTAAATTCGAAGAAATTGCAGGCATAATAAGTTATGAATTATGATCATTACATTAGTTTTAATAAATGAAATATCTATTAATAATTTTTTATATTTGCATTTGTCACTTTTTATCGTTTCTGGAATATTGACTGATTTGTTTTAAATCGTATTTGTTGTTGTTATAAATTATACAAACTAGTTTTTTATAATTGAAAATCAATTTTATTGGTGATAATTATTAAAAAGTGATTTATTTTGACAAAGATTGTAAAATAAGCTAGTAGCTGTCTACAGTTTTATATAAAAAAGTGTTCAAAAATCAATCGAAATTTTTTTCGATCTTGAAACATTATTGATATAATTATCAACCAATGAATTAAAGATGATTAATTAATTTTCACTTTTTTATTTATACGTTTCGATGCTTAGTATGTGCCATCATTCAGTAAATCTTAAGTACAGAAATTTTGTTTTAAGCAAAGAATAGTATTTTATTAAATGATGAATTTTAAAGAGTAATTTTAGTTTTTTTTAAAGTAATTTCAGTAAATTTGCTTTAAACAAAATATGTTTTTTTTAAAAATATTAAAATATTAATTTTAAAACTGAGTATGTATACTACTAGTATGCATACTATACTAGGAAAAACTAAAAGAAAAAGCTTGAACATTATTTAAAAAAAATTTTATTAATTTACTTATAAAGTAATTTTTTGCTACAAAAATTTCACTTATTTAACTAATATTAAATTTTCATTTTTTGTTAAATTGTATTTGTGGTTTCAAACAATTTTGCTGTAATTTAGCTTTGCTCAACGATGACACACATAAGGCGCCGAAACGTACAAATAAAGTGCAAATTAATTTATCAATTTAATTCGACGAATTGGCTGCTAAGTGAATTATATGTATATGTGTATATATATATATATATATATATATATATATATATGTGTATTAGTGTTGAGCTTCAAAAAATCCAAAAAGTTTTTTAAATAATTATTATGTATATATCGACGTTTCGGATCAATACACGTTCCATCTTCAGGATTTTTGTCAAGAACATGATCCTAATTGGAAAATAAACTAGTATGAATTAATAAAAATTATTATTATTGTTGTGTTTAGCTTTGAGCAAGGAATGCAATAAGTTAAAAAAAAAAAAAAAGTTTTTTTAAACTTATTTATTATCGACGTTTTGGAACTATATGCGTTCCATCTTTAGAACGATCATCTTGATTAGAAATAAAAATGTGGTACAAAAAAAAATAGATTGAAGAGAAGAAATACGAAAGTTATTTATGATGAAAAAGTTAAAAAAAAGGAAACATCATTTCGTATTTTTTAAACATTTTTCTTTAAAGATGCATTTTTTATTATTTGTGGTAATTATTTACAA